GACCAGGAGGTTATGGTGCAATTCCCAGTCAGGGTACATGCCCGGGTTGTGGTCTCAATCCCCAGGAGGCAGCTGATCAATCATCCTCTCTCATCACTGATGTTGCTCTCTCCCTCTCCCTTCCTTTCTGACATCAATAAAATTTTTTTAAAGAAACTACAAGAAGAGCAATTTAAATCCAAAATAAGCAAAAGAAACAAAATAACACAAATCAGACAGGAATTTATTAAAATAGAAGATCAGAGACATCAATGCAGCGGTGCTCAACCTTCTGGCCCTTTAAACACAGTTCCTCATGTTGTGAGCCAACCATAACTTTATTGTCGTTGCTACTTCATCACTGTCATGTGGCTACTGTTATGAATCGTCATGTAAAGATCTGATATGCAGGATGGTCTTAGGAGACCCCTGTGAAAGGGTCGTTCGCGACCCACAGGCTGAGAACCGCTGCATCAATGGAACCAAAAGCAAGTTCTTTTAAAAAAATCAATAAAGCCCTAACCGGTGTGGCTCAGTGGATAGAGCATCCGCCTGCAGACTGAAGGGCCCCAGGTTCGATTCCGGTCAAGGGCGTGTACCTTGGTTGTGGGCATGTACCCAGTGGGGAGTGTGCAGGAGGCAGCTGGTCGATGTTTCTCTCTCATCGATGTTTCTAACTCTCTATCCCTCTCCTTTCCTTTCTGTAAAAATCAATAAAATATATTAAAAATAAAATAAAATAAATAACTAAAGCTGGCAAACCTCCAGGCAGAATGATCAAGAAAGAAAAACGGAGACACCAATTACCGAAATCAGGAATGAGGGGTCGCACCAGAGCCCACAGGCCTTGGGGTGACGAGAAACACTGCTGACAACTTCGGTTAAACGGACAGATTCCTCGGAAATAAAAGAACCACCACGCTCCTCAAGGCAGCAGCACAGAGGCCCGGGGGCCGTGTCTGGAGAAACTGGGTTTGTAGCTAAACGCTCCACCACGAAACGCGGCCGCATGCTCAGGCAGGAGACGACGCCCGTTCTGTGCAGACGCCCGGGAAGCCGGCCGGAGGACGCCCAGGCCCTGTGGGGCGAGCACGCATGACCCTGACCCCACAGGCGGGGCAAGGGAGCCAGAGTGACATCCATCAGGATCGCAGACGGAAAAACTCGCAACAAAACCTGAGCAAATCAAAGCCAACAACACATCAAACGGCCCACCGCCGCCCGCGTCCCGCTGTCCGGGGACAAGGTCGTCCTAACATCCGCCTGCGTCTGCGAGTCGTCAACAGGAACTGGAAGGGAAACACCGCGTGACCGTCGCAACAGACGCAAACACACGCTGGACAAACGCCAACATCCGTTCCTGACAGAAACTCGCAAAATGAGAAGAAAAGGAAACGTCCTCAACTTGGGGAAAAGCACCCACGACCCGGCCGCGCTGACGTCACACGTGGAGGAGACGGACACCCTCCACGAAGACCAGACCAAGACAGGAGCCGGCTCGGCCCGGCCCAGGCCCCGCCAAGGCCCCGCCCGGGGAGGACCCTCTGGGAGGTGCCCACAGGCAGGGAGTCTCCCAACCCCACTGCACGGGCTGGGCAGTGCCCGCCTCCCTCACCTGCAAACCCACAGGTGGTCCCGGGAACCGAGTGGGTGAGCCAACCTCTGTCCATCTGTCCAGGCCACAGCCCCTCGCGGACCCCGGACCAGTTTCTGCGCTTCCCGTGGCCGCACTTCCTGTGGCCGCACTCACCGTGGCCAGCTCGTCGAACTTGCCAAAGAGCTCGTTGAGCAGCTTGACCAGCTCCTGGGCCGTGCACTGCGACGCCAGCCCCGTGAAGCCCACGATGTCGGCGAAGAGGATGCTGCAAGACAGGGGATGCCCGTCACCGCTCGCCTCAGACCAGGCGCCGCATGCAGCTGCCCTTCACAGTCACCTTGAAGCACATCTTCCTGCTTCTTCCTCAACCCAGGCTGGAAGCCACGGCTTCTTCCTCCCATTTCACAGGAGAGAAGACTGAGGTTGGAAGGACCACGGACGCTGGTGTCACCGAGGCAGGAGACACTGCAGCCGCTCAGAGGCCCCTGACCCTGGTCCAGCCTCAGCCCCGCCGGGGACCTCCGCACACTCGCCTCACTTTCTGAGCCTCCATTTCCTCACAAAGTCGAGGTGCAATGCTGGCAGCTCTCAGGGGTGTGATGATGAACCGAGTGCCCAGAGGGGAAGCTCCTCCTCCCTGGGCTTGAACCCTGGCCCACACCGTGGCCTCTCCCTCCTGATCTTCAGGGGACCCTCTCTAGGGTATCCTCCTCCCTCCTCCATCACTTCCTCCATCACTTCCTCCATCTCCTCCTCCATCACCTCCCCCTCCTCCATCACCTCCTCCATC